GAAAACAGTATGGAGCTTCCTCAAAAAATTAACAATAGAACTACCTTACAACCCAGGAATTGCACTATTGGTATTTATCCAAGGGATACAAGTATGCTGTTTCAAAGGGACACATGACCCCAAGGTTTATAGCAGCACTATCGACAATAGCCAAAGTGTACGGAAAGAGCCCAAATGTCCATCGACAGATGAATGGATAAAGAAGATGTACTGTATATATATATATATATATATATATATACACACACACACACAATGGAGTATTACTTGGCAATCAAAAAGAATGAAATCTGCCATTTGCAAGATGCAACCAGAAGGTATTATGCTAAGCAAAATTAGTCAGAAAAAGACAAATATCATATGACTTCCCTCATACAAAGACTTTAGGATACAACACAGATGAACGTAAGAGAAGGGAAACAAAAATAATATAAAAACAGGGAGGAGGATGAAACATAAAAGACTATTAAATATGGAGAACAAACAGAGGGTTACTGGAGGGGTTGTGTGGGGGGGATGTGGGCTAAATGGGTAGGGGTATTAAGGAATCTACTCCTGAAATCATTGTTGCACTATATGCTAACTAACTTGGATGCAAATTAAAAAATAAATAAATTATTTTTAAAAATCGTGGTACTAAAGCAATTAACGACCACTGCACAATGAGCCACATTATTCTGTTCCAGAGTCAGAGAACTTCAATAAGCACCTTACAGACGGAACCTCAATGTTTTATATTCTCTAGACCAGGGGTTAGCAAACATTTTCCTAAATAGCCAGACATGTTTAAATGCTTTAGGTTTTGGGAGCCATAAGTGTCTGTCACCACTACTCAACTCTGCTGATGTAGCACAGAGGCTGCTCCAAACAACACGTAAACAAATGGGCATGGCTACGTTCCAATAAAACTTAATGTGTGAACACTGAAATTTGAATTGCATACAATGTTCAGAGGTCACTACACTCTTCTTTTGATGTTTTCCCCCCTACCATTTTCAAAACATAAAACCATTTTTAACGTGTTAGTGGTACCAAAAGAGGCAGCAGGCTGGGTTTGGCCCACAGGCCACATTTTGCTGACTCCTGTTCTAGACTCATAAATTCATGCTTCTTCAACCATACAACAAATCCCCCTAATAATCATCAACACATAGTGTTTAGCTCAATATTCACTTAAAAATAAGGTGTGAAATAATCCCATGAGCCTGTTTTTATTAGCTCAACTTGAAAAAACGTAAGATCCTAAAGATGTCAAACTTTCACCAGAACTTAATGCCAGTCTTACCCATAAAAATAACATCACCCATCACCCCTTTCTTCACCACACACAATTAACAATTTACGGAATAAGAAAATAGTTGTCAGTTGTCTTCATAGATGAAGTCAGTGTAGTCTCATTCCTTTGCCAAAAGGCAGAGAAACCAGTTCTTGATGCCTCTTCTTCCCAAGGCTACTCAAGGCCAGTTGATCCGGGATGACAGAGGACAAGCTTTGGCTTCAGTGTGGATTTTTAACCAGGAACTTTACTACTTTAAATTTTTTTTTAATGATTTTTTTTAAAAGCATTGGTTTTTGCTATTTTTACTGACACCCATTTTAAAAGCAGCAGTGCTTAAAACATTTTAAGTCTAGATGTCTCTATGGAAACCCAAGAGAATTCTGCTTTTATGGCCAATGACGACCTGCCTAGATTATATACCCTACTGGATCACTACGGGTCATCCTTGAGACCAGAAACATCTCAGACCTATTTTTCCAAAACTCTCTCCCATATCAGATATAAATAAATTGATGTATAAGTATTAGTTTTGTTGAGATGAGGAGAGAAAGAACTTATTTGAGGCTCTTTTTAATTTTTAGAAAGACATCCTCATTTAAAATATTCTTGGGGTGCCTGGCTGGCTGAGTTAGAGCATGTGACTCTTGATCTTGGAGTCATGAGTTCAAGCCCCATGTTGGGTATAGAGATTACTTTAAATAAATAAATAAATAAATAAATAAATAATAGATACACAGATAAAACTTTAAAAAATAATAAAACATTTTTATTACAAAAAGAATTTTGTGGATTTCAGCAGACTTAATAAAAAAGAAAGATTGCAATCAAATAACCTAACAGTTGCTCTGAAATTTAGATCACTGATTTCATCCCCTCCTTTCCACTAATGTCAAATACATTTTCTTTTAAAAATTTAAGTTTCTCTCCTCAGTCTGCTTATTCATTGCAAGGGAGAAAAAAACCAAATAATTAATGGAGTACAGAAATTAGGTGATCAAAATTAACCAGGTGACCAAAATTAACATCACCAGTGAGGACTTCATGGCCTTTGGATGCCTTCAGGTGTGATATTCTGAGACTATTAACATCACCTAAAACACATAACCTGAATCTAGTCATGAGAAAAACACCATTATTTAAAAAAAAGAGAAAAGTTGACAGGGGCGGGGCAGAATGATTTTTAAAATGTCAGCGTCATAAAAGGCCAAGAAAAGCCATGGATGTGTTCTAGATTCAAATAAGCTGAAGATACATGACAATTAAGATATCTGACCCCGGAATCTTCCAATATGGCAGGGTAGGTGGGGAGAATTCTCTAAAGGGCACTATGGGGTCAACTGACAATATTAGAATACAAACAGTATATTAGATAAATGTATTATATTAATGTTAAAAAATAGAACTACCCTATGACCCAGCAATTGCACTACCAGATATTTATCCAAGGGATACAGACGTGCTGTTCTGAAGGGGCACATGCACCTCAATCTTTATAGTAGGTAATCGACAATAGCCAAAGTATGGAAAGATCCTAAATGTCCATCAACAGATGAATGGATATAGAAGACGCAGTATATATATATATATACACAATGGAGTATTACTTGGCATTCAAAAAGAATAAAATCTTGCCATTTGCAACAACATGGATGGAACTAGAATTATGCTAAGCGAAATTAGTCAGAGAAAGACAAATATCATATGACCTCACTCATATGTGGAATTTAAGATACAAAACAGATGAACATAAGGGAAGGGAAGCAAAAATAATATAAAAACAGGGAGGGGGACAAAACATAAGAGATTCTTAAGTATAGAGAACAGAGGGTTACTGGAGGGGTTCTGGGAGGGGGATGGGCTAAATGGGGAAGGAACATTAAGGAAGATCTTTGTTGGGATGAATACTGGTGTTATACTTAGGGGATGAATCACTGGAATCTACTCCTGAAATCATTATTTCACTACATGCCAACTAACTTGGATGTAAATTGTTTTAAAAAGTATATTATATTAATGTTAAATACACTGAAGACAATAACTATACTATGATTATATAAAACAATATCCTATGCTTAGGAAACACAGAAACATTTCAGAGCAAAGGGTCATGATGGGTGATGTAACTTTCTATCACATGGTTCAGAAGAACAATTATAGACATTCACACATAGATAGGGAAAGAGCGAGAATAAACAGAGCCAATGATAAAGGTAAAGGTAAAAATTGTTAACAAATTATTAGCTGGTAAGTTTGAGATTATTTGCAAATCGAAAATTTAAAGAAAAATGAACTGTTCTTGCCTATGCCTAAATTGGCGTTCTTGATTATCCATTTTCCCTCCGTAATATTCCAAATGCAACACAAGGAAGAGATGCTTGTGCCAAGAAACAAGAAAGTGCAAAGATATTTTAACATAATTTTTTGTCAGTGATTGAAGTTTGCCCAAGCATTACACACCATCCATTCTCAGCCGAGTCCATCGCAAAGACCAGCAAGCACTGGATACTCTAGCAGCTTAGATGCAATCATTTCCTGCTAATTCCTCCAAACAGGGCCTTGATTCTAAAACCTTCTCATATCCTACAACTTCCAGAATCACTCCATGCACAAAACAAGTCTCTCAGCTAATCTTTCAGACAGGCACTGTCAATGTCAATCAGGTGGATTCAATCTTTTGAACTGGATCATCCTAATATCTTTTTTTTTTTAATGTTTTTTATTTATTTCTGAGAGAGAGAGAGAGAGACAGCGTGAGCAGGGGAGGGTCAGAGAGAGAGGGAGACACAGAATCTGAAGCAGGCTCCAGGGTCTGACCTGGCTGCCAGCACAGAGCCCGATGCAGGGCTTGAACCCACGAGCCATGAGATCATGACCTGACCTGAAGTCGGACTCTTAACCGACTGAGCCACCCAGGTGCCCCGGATCATTCTCATATCTTAAGCCATGTCTAAGTAGCTGGAGAATGTGGATCTCAGGAGGCAGCATTACCTCATCACGTATCCACAACTTGCCACCACTTTGAAACTGCCATCAGAATCCCACATCCTCAATGTCTATGACATGACAATGCTCCTCTATCACCACTGGAGGTGCTGACCTCCAACCTGAAATAATTGTTTCTTGAGAATCAGTAGAGGGAACTATGCCAAAGACCAAAAATATAGGAAAGACTTTTCTATAAGTCCATCACTGGAGGTAGAATCAAAAAGGTCACAACCAAAATTAAAATTTCCAGCCATGCTTAGGAATTAGGAAATTGCTATTCTCCAAAACACTGCAGAGACAGAACATACATATATTGGTGAGTCTTTCCTATCCTTCCTGGTTCCATTTTATTATTCTCTTGGAACCTTTAGTCTTGACTATCTGTAACTTAAAATACCCATATACTAGTTTTAGTTTTGACTTTTTATGCTAGATATTCCCCCTTATTATTCATTTTTCTCCAAATTTTAATCAATAATCTTACTTAACAAATATTTACCAAGATCCTACTTGATAGCCAGACTTACTGGTACTTACTGGTACCAGAGGGAAGATTCAGATTTTTTGTCTACAAATGGTCCCTGAGAAAACAATGATATGAAGACAGTAAGTGCAAAAAAGTCTGCTTGCAGAAAACCATAAGGAGCCAGAAATGAATCATGACCAACTGCAGAAACTAATAAACTAGTCAAAGCACTAAAATTTAATGAGAAGATAATTTTTAAAGTAGGTGAAATTGAAGAAACGTTACATGTAACATTATTGTAAATTTAAAAATCATGCATATTCTTCTCCATCAAATTTCTCAAATGCAGTTAAAAACACACACGTACAAAACCAAGCAATTATAAATCTTCTGAAGCATGTAACTGTGATTAGCTGCTACTCTCAGCAATATAAAAATACTTTCACCACAATTACATTCCAGGCTGTAATGTAATTCAAAACAAACAAGTCAGACATCGTTCAAATGGCAGAACCAACAAATACAGATGCTTTGCATCAAGGAAATGAATCCACCGAAGAAATGCAACAGGGGCCTGGAGCTGGGCTTCTGGTGGAACCGCGAGGCCCCCTTCTGGGCAGACGCAGCGCACCCCAGTGAGGTTCTACCGAGCTCTTCTTCCATGGGCACCAACCCTCAGTGCAGTCAGAAAGCGTGAGTATCCGGGACTTCCGGCTGCAGAGACCCTTCCCGGGGCTGTGTGCCCATTTTTTCAATTTTAGATTTTAAATTCTAAATTTGGACTTTTATAAAAAGAAATAGCAATTTGATTTCAGAGTAGATGAAGCCATTCTATTTACTTGTGCAACCGGCAGACCCGTCACCAAATGGCACGCCCACCCCCTCCACTCCCTTCTCCCTTTCTTGTCGCCATGATCCTTAAGACCATCTAACATACTGCATAATCTATCAGGCGTAGTGTCTGTCTCCCCTGCTAGAATATCAGCTCCGGGACGGCAGGATTCATTGTTTTGTTCACTGATTCAATGAGCGAATGGAGCCTGGCAGAGTATAGCTGCTCGGTAATAAAGGAATTGTCTCATTTCTGCCTTTATGTTTGAAGAAAATATTCATCTTCATCTTCAAAGAAGGCATACGTAAGGTTTTATTATAGCAATATGCTATAATTTAAAAATGACACTTAAGTAATTGCTTTAGAAGTATGCATTTTCTTGACCTGCTTTATAAAAGCAAAAAGATATCTGTTCTGAGGCACACACAATCATAATCTATATGTATATAATTCATATACAAATTCCAAGAAAGTCACAGGCCCTCAACACCCAAGGAGGACACAGTGGCTGCAAAGAATGCAGGGCCCGATTCTGAAAAGCCAGGCCTAGAGCAGGTGTCAGTGTGGCACGCTCCAGTCCACACACACCAGGTAACTGGGTCTGGATACACATTTGCTGAAGCTCAGCATTCTCCTGGCCCGGGGCACAATGATTTTGGCAGGAAGAGCATGTACTGCTTACTAATTTCTAAAACTTCCAACTTTATTTTTTCTCCCCTTCTTAAAATGTTCTTTATGCTTATGGAAAAGCTAACCATTGTTTACAACTGTCAGACTTTTAAAAAGTGCTCATTTGTTCCCTTAACACAGCAAATAGTGGGAGATGATTTTCCCAGGGGATAAGGACATATAGGAACATACGATTCAATGATGTCAACAACTTTCAGTCCAAGAATTTCGTTGAGGGGCATCAGCCTTCCCTCAGAACAAGTTCAAGGTTTCTGACATTCCTTTTTCCGAACTTTTGATTTTGGTGCTGTGAAAAGAATAGCAAAGAAAAAGAGAAAATGAAGAGGAGGCCCCACGTCAGACTCTCTTCACATTGCTTTGTCTTAAGTGAGGTTACAGTATGTACAGCAGGGGAAAACTGACCGTTTGGATTTTCCTGTTTGTAGAAGGTCTTCAACATTTCCACTGCTTCCTCGGCCCGATATCCGGGAATGCACTGTTGAAATGAGAAGACTGAGGATCAATATCGCCCAATGAAAACGTGGCCTGTATCCCATAAAAACAGCAACATACACATAATTATGTAAACTTCCTTCACATAATGTTAATACACTTTGGGGGTAGCAGTAATGTGGGTAAGAAAGTACATTTCCAAGAGAATACAGAATCAAACATCAATCCAGTCAACTATTATTTCTCAATCAACTACTACTGAAGTTACTAGCTATGTGATGATTTTGGGTAAGATCTATGCTTCAGCTTCCTCACTTGTAAAATGTATGTAATTATAGCACTTACCTAAAAAGGATTTCATGAAGATTAAATAAGATTACATAAAATAACACCTGTTAAATACCTGACACATCATTAAGTGTTTGGTAAGCGTCTGCTATGTTTATCTACTGTTATTCACTGGTGGCCCATTAAGCATTTGATGCTGAGCTAGAGTTGGTAGTCCACAGGTATAAATGTTCAGCTAAGCATGCTTTTTATATTTTTAAAGGTTTGCAAAGAAAAAAAAAAAAAAGAAAAAGATGTGACACAGATGCGAGTGGCTCACAAAGGCTAAAATATTTACTATTAGGCTCTTTACAGAAAAAAAAAGTCAATCTTTACTGTAGTGGATGTTTTTAAAGGGGTTTCGTTTGATCTATCTTTGGTATCTAACTACAAAGAAAAGATCAATTAAGTGAAAGAATAAGAAATTATGATAACGGTAAGGAGTGAAATTATACATAAAATCTTACATGAGGATGAAACTTTAACTTGCCTTAAAGATGGCAAATATTTAAAGAGGCTGAACGCGGCATTTCAGGGAAAGAGTAAAATGAGCTTGGATTGTGTGAGAAATCCAACTAATGGGGTATAGTGGAGCTACAGGTGAAGAAATTAAAGAGATAAAATGAGGTCAAAATATACAGGGCTTTGAAGGTGTGTTATAGGGGTTTGAACTCGATATGCTGCATCCTTCTAAGACACAAGAAATGAAAAAATGAACAGAGACTCCAGGGAGGCACATCCGGAAGCAGCCATAGGAGGGGAAGCAGAGAGCGAGCGCCAGCACACGGGCCCTGTGAGTGTGGTCTGTTGCTCAGAATGAACCCACCTTTCTCTAGTGCCTTCAGTCAGCTCTTACCTGGACCTATGAAGACTGAATAAACCTTCCCCATCAAAAGAAAAACTTTACAAGTTCAATGTCTTTAGATTGCACATATAAGAGAGATCATCAGGGGCACCTGGGTTAAGTGTCCAACTCTTGACATCGACTCAGGTCATGATCTTGCGGTTTGTGAATTCGAGCCCCTCATTGGGCTGTGTGATGACAACATGGAGCCTGCTTGGGATTCCCTCTTTCCCTCTCTCTTTGCCCTTCCTGCTCATACACACACACACACACACACACACACACTCTCTCTCTCTCTCTCTCTCAAAATAAATAAATAAACTTTAAAAAAAGAGATCATACAGTACTTGTCTTTCTCTGTTCGACTTATTTCGCTCAGCATAATGCCCTCAACGTCTGTCCATGTTGTCCTAAATGGCAGGATCTCCTTCTTTTTTATGGCTGATATATGGCAATATTCTACTGCATATATGTAATAAAATATATATTTATATATATGGAACATTCTTGTTCTTATATATATGGAACATTCTATCTCTTGCAGAGAGTAGAATGATAGTTGCCAGGGATGGAGGTTGGGGGTTTCAGGGAATTAAGAGACAGTGCAAAGGGTATAAACTTTCAGTTATAAGGTAAGTTCTGAGGATCCAAGGAATAGCATGGTGACTATAGTTAACAATACTATATTGTGTACTTGGAAGCTGTGAAGAGAGTAGAGCTTAAATGTTCTCACAGTAACAACAAAATGGTAAGCATGTGAGGTGAATGGTGTATTAACTAACTTTACTGTAGTAAACACTTCACAATCTATACACCTATCAAATCATCCCATTGTACACCTTAAACTTCTACAATTTTATATGACAACTGTATCTCACTAACCCTGGAGGGAAAAAATCCCAATAACCTTCTTCGACCCTGCCCCCTAGGCAAGCTACTACCCTGATGCTCCTGAGAACATTCCAGACCCCTGGCTGTCCCTTGAGTGGCTCTCATTTCCTCTTCAACCTCATCCATGCTGGTTTGTGCTCTTAGACCTCCCAAGGGACCCTACTGACCAAAACACTGGTTTCCTTTCCATTGTCCTCAACTGTCAGCAATGGTGGACTACTGACCATTCTTGCTTCTTTTTAGAGCTCTCTCCTCTCTCGGCTTCTCCATTCTCACAACCTTCTCAGACCAGTCTAACCATGGTGGTCAGTCCCCTTCTCCTCACGTTACACTGTGCTCCTCAGAGCTCCCGCCTCTCCTCATGCTCTCATGAGCACCAAACCAGCACAAAGCACTCTCCCTTCCTGTGAAGTCAGAGCAATGGCCCTCCACCTTGGCTGCTCAGTGCAATAGCCTGGGAACTCTCTTAAGAAAATACAAATATTCCTCCTCCTCCACCCTCTCACCTTCTTATACAGTTGGTCTGGGGCAGGGACCTCCCACAGGCACATTTAAAAATCTCTGTAATATGCAGTCTGGGATGAGATCCACGGAGTTACAGATGGAGAAGGAAATTGTATCATTCTAAGATACCAAGACAGTGTTTTCAACTATTCATTATAGCAATAAATTGTGGCTTTAATAAAAAGCGTGCATTCTTATTAAAATAAACTTTTAAAAATGGAATGGGTATGTATTATAAATTAATCACTATCTTCCCTAAAAACAATAGTTCTGTAAGTCTCCTCTAGGAGCTTAATTCAGCTTATAATATAGCATTAAAGGAATCTATGATTCTGCAATACAAAAACAGCATCCCTTCTCCCACAAACCCCCCACCCCAACCTGAACCAACCAAATAAAGGAAGAAAACACCAGATCCAGAAGCCTGGGGTGTCAATGTCTTCTTTAGAATCTAAAACGGTTAAACAAACAAACATAATTTGGCATCAAACCTGGAGATAATGGCTTCAAATGATGGTAGTTCATTTCACTGGAGCCAGTTTGTCCAGGTACACACACTACAGTCTTATTCTTTGGTTCAGCAAGATCAACTCTGTGCAGAGACGTGTAGGAGAGGGCTGTTTATGCACTCAGTGCCACTGATGTGTTGGAGAGAAATTTTCTACCCATATCTGATACCAAGGGCTCATCTTTGTTCTGCCTAGAAGCTTTGAGAAATTCTTTAGATCTTTCTCATAAATAAAGTACAGGGTCAGCAATTCACTTGCAAAGAGTTATGTAAGTAAAATCTGAGCCACTAAGAGAAGTGACTGGAAAGATCAAATCACTTTGCAGATTTCATGTTCACTAGAAGTGTCACTTTGTAGATTTCATGTTCACTCGAAGTGGGGCTCGAGCTCACCCCATGCAGGGCTTGAACTCATGAACCGTGAGATCATGACTCAGCTACCCAGGCGGCCTGAAGATTTTTTTAACAGTCAAGCCGATAGCATTGTTTACTCTTGTTCTATTACAATTTCTTTTCTGATGTGATGTTAAAAGTCATCTATTCTCAAATATGCAGAAGTTGTTAGGAAAGCTACTGTTCAGCTGGAAAAACTCATAATAGAATGTTTTCCAAAATTTGTTCTCAGTGGGATTCAGCCAAATTGAGCCCTTCATTGGTACTTGGTATTCTCCTAAGAGTATCTGAGGTCTTTGAAGTGAACTGCCCACCATGTCAAGCTTTTGTAAATCCTTTTCTTTTTAAAACATAATACCTCAGGGGCACCTGGGTGGCTCAGTCGGTTGAGCATACGACTCCGGCTCGGGTCATGATCTCACAGTTCGTGGGTTTGAGTCCCATGTCGGGCTCTATGTTAACAGCTAGCTCAGAGCCTGGAGCCTGCTTCAGATTCTGTGTCTCCCTCTCTCTTTGACCCTCCCCTGCTCACATTGCCTGCCTCTCTCTCTCTCTCTCTCTCTCTCTCTCTCTCTCTCTCAGAAATAAATAAAACATTAAAAAAGAACTAAAAAAAAAAAGAACTCTTAAAAAATAAATAAATAAAACATAATACCTCAGGATTAACTTTGGAGAGAAAAAAAATCACACCAGTTTATGCAAAATGATATGTATCTACAGGCCAAACTCTGAAACAGAAATTCCTACTGCTCATAGCCTTAAACATAAAAACTTGGGGAGAGGTGGCAAGATTAAAGGGAAAGTAGAATTTTTAAGGGAAGATTAAAGCAATGTGGATTCTTGGGTCTAGGGGAAATTTCAATATTGAAAAGGCAGGGGGAAAAATAATGAAAATACAGGTATTAATTGCTACACACCAAAAATAGTACATAGCGATAAAGCAAAATGATTAGCTTCGTGCAAAAATATCATGTGTGCACTGTAAATAGCATCTACTGTTACTGACAGAGTCCAAGCTTCACCCAAACTCAGTCCAGCACAGAGCTGGGGACACTCACTGAGTGAAAATGCCAACAGTGACCACATCTCCAAGCATCTGTGACAGCGTTGGTAAAGACCGTCAGGAAAGATACCTTGAAAGGCTGGGGACTTTCCTTCTGGAAAGATTCTGTTAATAAAGAGAGCCAAGCACCTACCTGGAAATGATTACCTGTCATCTTACAATGAAGCATAAATGAACTTGACCAGAGGTCCCAGAGTCTACCTGGTACTAGCACGGCTCTTTGGTATACTGACCATACATGAACAATTCCCAAGCTCCTAAGGAGATCAAAGGAATTCAAAAGAAAGAAAAAGCACAAGCAGGTCATATTACCTGAAATGGTCTCCCAGTATTTGGCAAATCAGCAGAGGCAATATTTAGAACGGAGCCACAACCACCAAATCGTTCGTTCTGACAGCCATATACCACCAGCGGAATTTATGAGAAAGAATTAAGGTCTTGAAGCAAATGTGCAGTTCAAGTGTGTGTAGGTAGGTTTTGAGCTAGCAAATAATTTTTTAAAGATCTTAGAGACAAACTTGTTACACTCAGTATCTGTACTACTTACTCTAAGAAAGACACAGTTCAAAGAGCTGTAACTTGTTCCATTTCCCATTTATTTACAATTATAATGTCATAAGTGATGTGTTTCTTACCAGGTATTCACTTTTGACTTAATACTTTTCATACATTGTAATAGGTATTCGTGGCAAAAGTAAACAAAAACATATAAACAGAGAAAGAAAAAATTTTAATTACCTATAATCTATTATCCAAAGGCACCAATAATCTATTACCCAAAGGTACATAGTCTTTAGATCTTTTCTCTGCACACAGTTTTATAATCTAATTTGTGATTTATCCTCCTATAGTAGCTTGTTAGCTCTTAGTTTTTTCTTTCTCTAGTTCATTTGGTTAATAGTTTTACATCTATTGATATGAAACAAAGTAATTTTATTACTTAAAAGTCTTTCCTAAATATATTTTTGGCCAAGGGGCACAATATTTGTAACCTGTTTCATAAGTCTGCTTTCACATGTTAGAAAGCAAGTTATGTGTCTGGCCATGTTCAAGTTTATAGGAAAGGGCCTGAGACATTAACTCACAAAGTCAAAGGATACTCATCAGGCGGAGAGCAGCCGCACACATAATACATGGCTCCACAGTGACATACAGCACGGTGTGTTCAAATACTTGAGAAGAACTCTTGCCACGATGGCGGCACCAGTCTAGGGCTTGATCGATGGCCACCATTTCTGCATGTCGAGTCGCCTGGAAAAAGAGAGGTGCTGGCATCAACGTGGAACTGTATTTTACAAACGCTCAAAAATAAACACCCCAAATGGGCCTAATGTTTCTGCCAACATTTTAATGAATAAGGGTTTCAGGGACACCCTTAGCACTTGACAATGCATCCCTGGCTCAAGTACCGTAACCTCACCAACGTAAGACAGCTTATCTGAGATGCCATGTGAATTATGCTTTATTTTTAGTTAAGTACCTAAGAACTTCAGGGGATGTTCCTTCAATTAAATACCACAGAGAATAGAAGTCTCAAAACAAAACAAAAAAAGAGTCTAGGGTTTGTTAATATTCTAGGGGAAGCCTGAAGTCTTCATAAGCATGTGCTCCAGTTTTCAAGGCCATCTCTCACCTCACTCTAAGCAAATCCATATTTAGTTTACTAGAATGTCATCACCTCTATTTTCTTTGGGATGAGATTTAATATTGTGGCAGACTCTGGAGAGAACCAAAAATTTGGTATCAGTCTCGGATACCTCATGGCTGGCAGCAGAATATAGGAGAAATCACACAGCAGTTGCAAATACCCATACTTAACTTTGAATTCTGACTGTGGCCTCACTCATTACATGGCCTGGGCAAATTACATAACTTCTCTAAGCCTTGGGGCCCCCATGTGCAAAACAGGGCACACTGGCACATACACCTCATAAAACACTGGATTACAAGAAGCATATGTTGAATGCTATATAGGTACTCTGCTATGCAGTAATTATTAAAAATAGAATGATCACATACATCAATAACCTTATACTGATTGCTAACTAAGTGCAAGTCATTGTGCTAAATCCTATGTGAGGTTAAAGAGTCTGTCCTCAACAACTATAAAAATCTAATGAGGTAAATAGGAAGGTGCTAACTGTGACATAGAGTAGGGTTGGAAAGTGCTGGCACAGTGGCCCTAGCTGCCATGGAGGCTAGAAGCAGGTGGAAGTGGGGCTGGTCCAGAATTATGAACTCAGAGCTATAAGGCACCTTAGCAAACAGGTTCCCAAAGCTGCCTGCACACCAGACCTAACTGGGGAGCTTAAAAAGTTTCCCCAACTCGATGCTTTTAAAAAAATCAGATTCAGAATTACTGAACCAAATCTCCCCAGAATTCACAGGAAGTAACTGTTGAACTAAATCACTGCAATCAACCTCTCTTTAGTGTGAAGAGCCAGAAGCTAAGTGAGGACATGTTAAAAACACACTGCTGGAAAAGGTGATGGTAGTGAAAGGTGTGGTGGTAGTATCCGAGCCAAAAGTAGGACTTGGGTCTCCTCATTTGAGGTCAAGAGTCTTTCTATACTATTTTATAGGGTAATCTTTTTTTTTTTTTTTAATGTTTTATTTCTGAGAGAGAGAGACAGCAGGGGAGGGTCAGAGAGAGGGAGACACAGAATCCGAAGTAGGCTCCAGGCTCTGAGCTATCAGCACAGAGCCTGATGCGGGGCTAGGACTCACGAACCATGAGAGCATGACCTGAGCCAAAGTCGGACACTTAACCGACTGAGCCACCCAGGAGCCCCAGGGTAATCTATAGGACACAATACCAAAATAAATGCAGGCCAATTTCAAGATACAGAAGAAACCCAGGTCATTGGAGAGTTAGATGGATGATGTTAGGGCATACAAAGTTCTCATATTAAAAATATTATACTGAATCACAAAACGTAATTAGAGAGACAGGATAATTATTTAAAATACAGAATTCTACTTCCAGACAAGTATCTGTTTATTCAGTAATTGCTACATTATGTTTATTACTTACCTCAAAAATGTTTTGATATTCACATAATAATTGCTTTGTGAATCTGGGTTCCTACTTTGCATGTTTTTTTTTTTTTTTTTTTTGATAGAAATGATGGACAAACTTTAAATCTCCCACAGCACCATTACCAATACTGGCTTCTTCTCTACCTACCAAGATCAAATGATACAATCAAAGTCTGTGTTAGTGGCGTTATGGTTATAAGCTGTCCATGAGTCCAGCTAGTGCTTTTTATTTTCATGAAATTGTAACACACTGTGGTGCTATCAAGAAGTACTGCCTTAATTCATGAACTCCTCAATCTAACCACAATAATATAAGGCACACATGCTATTAAAGTGTGATAGCACATGTAGATATAGAAACAGAAGGTAGTAGACTTTACCCCATTGAATTCTCTAAGACACAAACAGTTTTCTTTATATAATCCTTTTATACCTTCAAAGATATACACTGAAGGTGATTGTTTAATTTAGCAGGAAGAACAGATTATTTAAAGGTAATAAAAAATGTGATATGAGTTAAACTGATGTTTTGTAAAGTGGAATTTTCGTATATTAGATATGCTTAAGATAGAGATTAGATTCATTTCTTTACTACTGAAACTCCAATGTAGTAAACCCCTCTTGAGTTTTACTTAAGTGTTAAAGTAAAACTCCATGAAATAGAAAATTAGCGCAAATATTTTATTGCTCCATTAAATTTTTCTGAATTTTCCAAATTTTAAAAAACCAGCATGTATCACTTTTATAATCAGAAAAAAAAGGCATTCAGAAAAAGAAATGTTAAGAGAAACTACCCTTCCATTGATCCCTACAAGTCTCTACTCAGACTCATCTTCTCGCCAATTGTGATGAAGTTCCGGGCACTCCTACCTTAACTGCTATGTTTGCAATTATACTATTCAACTGACATACATTTTTGGTTTGATTAACTTCATTTCGTCCCTTCCCAACAACTTCATTGTTGTAGACCATGAGACAGCCAACGGGAACTTCATTGTTTTCTAGGGCTTCTTTGGCCTAAAAGACAAAGTAGAAAAATTAAGATGTAATGTTCAATACTTGAAAAGATGACCAGAAAGAAATAGATGCAATGTGAAGACACACGTATAAACACTGAACAAAGAAATACACTGAGGGGCGCCTGGGTGGCTCAGTCGGTTAAGCGCCCGACTTCGGCTCGGGTCATGATCTCATGGTTCGTGGGTTTGAGCCGCGCATCGGGCTCTGTGCTGACAGCTAGCTCAGAGCCTGGAGCCTGCTTCAGATTCTGTGTCTCCCTCTCTCTCTGACCCTCCCCTGCTCACGCTGTCTCTCTCTCTCTCTCTCATAAATAAATAACATTAAAAAAATAAATACACTGAGCTCTCCCTCTCCTCAAATACAGTTCAGTGCTTAGTGCCTTTGTTCTCCATTGTTTCCATATGAAAGGAGACTCAAGAACAAACTCCCTTTATAGGTTCTGAGCCCCCCAATTTTTTCTTCCCATTGGAAGCAGAAGTGAGCAAAAGACTATTATTGACTCTTGTTATTAAGTTGGCAGGGTCTGTGCAGCTTTTCAGAGATCATATATAGATTTGCAAAGGAAAAGAATAACATGTATAAATACTTAACTGAAATCTATTTCTTTTTTTTTTTTTTTTTTACAAATAGTTTATTGTCAAATTAGTTTCCACATAACACCCAGTGCTCATCCCCACAAGTGCCCTCCTTCCATGCCCATCCCCCCCTCCCCCCCACATCCATCAGTCCTCAGTTTTTGTCAGCATTCAAGAGTCTCTCATGGTTTGCCTCTCTCCCTTTCCCCCACCATTTCCCCCCTTCTTCTCCCGATTGGTCCTCTGTTAAGTTCCTCCTAGTCCTCCTATACGTGCACACATATGATATTTGTCCTTCTCTGCCTGACTTAAACTGAAATCTATTTCTTGTTGAAATTCTACTTGCTTAATTGTTTTTGTTTCTCTAAATAGTATAGAAAATATCCTCTTGGGTTCCAATAGCATAAAGGTAACCAGATTGGATGCCACTCTGTTCACAATTTCTGCTTTGACACACGAAAAGCTTAGGAGCACTCTGTGTTAAAATGGCACAACCACTTTAGAGAACACTTTGGAAATTTCTTTAAAAAGTAAACACGCATAGAGCCTATGAACAAATTCCACTTCTAAGTATTTATTTAAGAGAAGAGAATGTATGTCCACACACACACACAAAACCTTGTAAAAGAATGTTCATAATAGCTTGATTTGTAATACCCAAATCTTGAAACACCACTGGTGTCCTTCATCAAAAGAATGGATAAACAAACTGGCTTAATAACACAATGGAATACTATTGAGCAACAAAAAGAAAAACACTAGGGATACACACAACAACATGGGTGAATCTCAGACATGATGAGTAAAAGAAGCATACACGCTATCTGATTCCCTTCGGGTTTAGTACCAGAACAGACAAAACTAAACACCGATGATAGCAATTTCTTCATGGTAGGTCACGTGTAGACTGATTGGAAAGGGACACAAGGAACTTTCCCAGGGTGCTCAAAACTATTTTGAAAAGGGTGTGGGTTACACAGATGTTTGCATCAGTCAAAACAGAATAGACAATGCATTTAAGACTTGTGCATTTCATTGTATGTAAAGTACACCTCAATTGAAAAACATAAATTAGAAAAATAAGCTTAAGAACATTTCCATCACCACCATCCCCGAAATGGCAAACCAATGGTTATATTCGCAAAGTCTCCCCCATCACAGGCTGTTTATTTTTCTTCTGGCCTTGTCAGTGATTGAATCAGTTGGGGCTCAAGACAGTAAAAGAATACTTTATTGGGCATACAGTAGAAGCAAGCAGGTCATATCTGAGTACTCCTGACCCTGCTGCTGAGAGAGAACAAAGGAAGAACACAACCCTTGAACCTAGTGTACAATCATCTCCACGTACTGCAGTCAAGAAAATCCAAGTATGGCTGTTTCTAGAAAGCCATGGCATTTCTTATATTTGGCAGGCCTGAAGACACTTTGGAAGACTAGATTACCAATTAATGTAGGTATTCATACACAGAAGGCATATACAGTGCAAAGGTGAAGACATTGCTTTAAGACAGCATGTTCTATCTCCTGCACTAGCCCCCTATTCCAGGCTCTACTTAATTTAGAGTAGCAATAACTTCCCATCATAATGCCAACATGGGATCTTTAGCCACTTTAACCATGCTCAACCGACCCTTAACTTTTTGTTGGGCCAATAAGGAATAAGTGAAAGGAGAGGCACACCGTGGTAGGAAATTGTACCTTTCCTTCCTCCTTCAGGGTGGTGGGATAGAGCTGGGGCCTGCATAGAAGTAAGGGCTCAGTATTTGAAGCAGGGAGACCGCATTCTTCAGAACTGCGTCATGAACCACCCACAGGCTAGTGCTGTCTAGTTCTGTAACAATGGTTAAAGTATGCCCAGTTTATGCAAAGTTTGAAAAGTCTGCAGAGTACCAAGTTTTGGTGGATATACACAAATAAATATACAGCTAGAGACGATGGAGATGCTGAGTATCCATGCAGTTAAGGCAATAAGCACACAAAGAATTGTAAGTAAGGAAGTAAGATTGGGGGTAGGGAGCACCTCAGTGGCTCAGTTGGTTGAGCATCTGACTCTTGATTTTGGCTCAGGTCATGATCTCACGGTTCCCAGGGGTTCCCAGGATTGAGCCCCACGTCTGGGCTCTGTGCTGACAGCACAGAGTCTGTTTGGGATTCTCTCTCTCCCTCTCTGTCTCTCTCCCCCTCCCCCACTGACACTCCCTCTCTCTCTCAAACTAAATAATTAGACATTAGAAAAATAAATAAAAATTTTAAAAAGAGAAAAAAAATAAATAAGGTTACAGGGCTCCTGGCTAGCTCGGTCAGAAGAACATGAGACTCTTGATCTTGGGGTCATGAGTTCAAGTCTCATGTGGAGTGTAGAGATTACTTAAAATAAAAACTTTAAAAAAATATTAAAAGTACACATAACCTCAGGTACACAAGAAAGAGAAATCATTTAATCATCCAACAAACATTTGTTGAAGATCTTGAGATAGGGAAATTATTCTGAATGATTAGGGTGTCTCTGAATGCAATCACAAGTGTCCTTATAAGAGATAGGCAGAAAGATTTGATATTATGCTGTTGGCTTTGAAGATGAATGAAGGGGCCATAAACCAATCAAGGAATGTTGCTACAGAAGCTGGAAAAGGTGAGGAAACATAGTCTCTAGCACCTCCAGAGAATATGTTCTGCTGACACATTGTAGTTTTAGCCTGATCAAATGACTTTAGAACAAACACCTGGCCTCCAGAACAGTAAGAGAATAAACCTGTGGTGTTTTAAGTTACCAAGTTTGTAGTACTTTGTTACAGAAGCCACAGGAAACTAATACACTCTGTTAAGAAGACAGGCCAAAACTGGAAGAAAATATTTGTAAACTACATACCCAACAAAGGTCTATTATCAAGACTATATAAAGAACTCTCAAAGGCTGGTGGAGGGAAGGAAGGAAGGAAGGAAGGAAGGAAGGAAGGAAGGAAGGAAGGAAGGAAGGAAGGAAGGAAAGAAAGAAAGGAAAGAAAGAAAGAAAGAAAGAAAGAAAGAAAGAAAGAAAGAAAGAAAGAGAGAGAGAAAGAAAGAAAGAGAGAAAGAAAGAAAAAGAAAGAAAGAAAGAAAAGAAAGGAAGAAAGGAAGAAAGGAAGAAGAAAGAAGAAGAAAGAAGAAAGAAGAAAGAAAGAAAGAAAGAAAGAAAGAAAGAAAGAAAGAAAGAAAGAGAAAGAAAGAAAGATCAAACAAAATCCAAGTAGAGAATGGACAAAAGTTATTAAGACACATCACCAAAGAGGGCATACAGATGGCAAATAAGTACCTGAAAAGATACTCATATCATTAGCCATTAGGGAAATGCATATTACAACCACAATGAGTTATCAATACACACCTGTCAGACTGGCCAAAATAAAAAGTAAAAACACCAAAGGCTGGCAAGGCTGAAGAACAGGATCACTTCTAGACTGTTAACATATGACCCAGCAATGGCACTCTGAGGCATTCTCCCAAGGAACTGAAGACTTATGTTCATACAGTACATATATTCATATAAAGACACAAATGTTCACAGGAGTTTTAATCGTAATAGGTAGAAACTGCAAATGACCCAAATGTCCTTCAAAGGATGAACAGTTAAGCAAACATGTGATATATCCATCCCATGGAATACTACACAGCAATAAAAGGAATAAACTATTGATACACTCAACACTTGGACGGACCCCAAGGAAATCATGCTGAATGAAAACAACCAACCTCCAGAAGGTTGCATTTCACGTATACAACATTCCTGAACGCAAAATTACAAAGAACAGATTGTGCCTGCCTCTTAAGGGCTTGAGAGGGAATGGTGGCCATAATGGGTAGCATGAGGGAGCCCTGTGATGACTGAGCAATCCTGGTGGTGGGTAAACATGATATCATGTGCACAAAACTACATGTGTCCATACGGAGCTAAGGAAATCTGAATAGCTCTGCAGTTTGCATCAATGTCATGTTCCTTGTTTGGATATTGCAACTAAAGTTATGTAAGATGTTTCCATTGAGGAAAGCTGGGTGAAGGGTACAGGAGCCTTCCTGCAATACTTTTTTGCAACTCACTGTGAATTTATAATTATCTCAAAAGGGGAAGTTAAAAAAAAAGTAATAATAAAGGTAGAGTAAACTAAAAATAGCTTGTGACGGAGATTAAGAAGAAATGCCTAATAAGACAGGAGGAAAACCAGGAGTGTCTGGTGTTAAGGAAGATCCCAGAAAAAAAGACAAAAAAAAAAAAATGCCAAGAAGAAAAGGTCAGTGACACAGAGGCAATTTTCGTGGAATGGTGGAAATGGAATCCACTGCTTGAAAATTGATCTGCCTGTAGGTTAAATCTCTAGCTCCTATTACAAAACACTGTTATGTAATAACAAGTGTTCTGATTCTGAGCTTGCAAATGATAAGAGCTTACAACTTGTTGAAACACTTACTTTGACCCAGGACTATTTTAAGCACTTTATAAGTATTAACATATTTAGTTTACAACCCTGAGATAGACTCATTGAGCTTCTCCATATTAAGTAAAGTATCTTACATATTAAGATAAGTAAACAGAGATGTGGGGTAAGTAGGGAATTTGCTCACATGCGAGCCTGGGACCAGAATCCAGAGAGTCTCTTCCAGGCATTCAGATCAGCAACAAACATTTATGGAACACCTACCAAGTGTCAGGTTTCTGGCCATTTAGCTTCAAATTTCTACTCTAGTCACCAGCAATCAGCTACTTTATCACTTTTAGGGGTCCAAATAGGTCTAGGTTAAGGGACAGAAGGAGAAGGAACATTTAAGGGAGTGAGACATAGAAAGTCTAAGGATAAAAAAACTGCAAGAGAATAAATGATGGAGGGGCCCATGTGACCAAGATTGTCAGTAAAACTATCTCCTGCAGAATTCTATGTGTGGCCAGGTCAAGCATGTAGGAGAGAGTTCAAGACCAAGGGGAGAAGAAGCAGTGGCAGGGTACAGGGAGTGTTTCCCAATGGGGTTCCAAGTCCCGGTCACCTGTAAGGGAGCCCGGACCACCCTGCTGCGCAGGGCTGTCCCTCTCTCCACCCAGGCCTCCAGGTGGCTGGGCCTGTGCCTTTCATTCTTTCCTTCAGCTTTTCTTTCTCCTTCCAGCAAACTTACCTCCTTTACTCCACGTCCTACCTCTCAATGTTATCGTCCTATTTATTTAGAGTAACTTGTTTTTTGTGAAGTCTTCAAGTGCTGTCCAAATGAGAGAGAAAAACATGAGTGGTAGGAGTATTTAAAAGGGTAAATCACATTATTGGTGAGGAAGAACCCAGCCCACCATGCTGAGGGCGAGTGGGTGAGGGGCTGGGAAGGGTGGGTTACAGAGGAGGCGGAGAGAATTAACCCAAAAACCCCACAGAAATGAGTTTAGGTGAAATGCTTTTCAATACATATTTGCTTTGCTGTCAAGTTCAAAACAGAATTAATTAAGCTAATTAAATAATTCACATAATCTTCAATTCATCCCATCTCCTACTTTCAAACTTTCCCACCAACTCTCTCTCAAGTCCAATCATTTCTTTACAAATTTGCTTTGTTACTTTGTACCTGGTCCTTTTAAGATGCAGATGTTTTTAATATTTATGTAAATACCCATCCATTTTTCTCTTCTGTTTTCTCCCTTTGATCATATAAAAAAAAAAAAACCAACTTCATTCCACATCTTCCAGATCTTCTCCTAATAAACACTAACATTTATTTACCAGTATCTTCTTTCTGGTTTTAGTCTTCTTATGCTATTTCAATTAGACTTATATTTAAACTTACAAAAGCATAGTAATATATTCCTTTAAGATGTCTTTAGGACACCTGGGTGACTCAGTTGGTGTGGAGCCTGCTTGAGATTCTCTCTCTCTCTCTCTCTCTCTCTCTCAAAACAAAAAACAAAAAACAAACAAAAAAACTGTATCTTACCATGCTAATTATTTGTGTGTTCTCCTTTAGTCTTTGTTTATTTGATTTATTTATATAAATATATATATATTGTTTACTTGATTTAAAAAAACAGCTTTCATTTACTGAGCATAATATGTCAGAGGCTTCACAAACATGATCTCTTTTAATCTACACAACCCTGTGAGTTAGATACTATATACCCATTTTACAGAAGAGGCCTCTGTGGCAGAAAGGTTAAGACCCTCTCAAGGTTAGCTGGCTGTCAGTAGCTGTTCTGAGGTTTAAATAGATGCCTATATAAATATATGCCTACACATATAAAGTAATTTGTATTTCTGTTTGCCTAATGTTGAATATCACATGTAGTTATGATAGTTAATGTCATGTTTGTACCTAATATTCATAATCATTTTGATGACAGCACATTATTCAACACAGTCATATATCACAATTTAACCATTTCCCTTCATTGGAAGTTTTAAATGCTTCCTAGTTTTCCCTATTACATAGAACCTTGAAATGACGATTGCTTTTATGCTTCTAAACTATTTTCTTAAGATAAATGCCATACAACTATAAGTTAAATGATATGAACATTTATTTTTTGAGGCTGTTAATTACATTATGCCAGGTTGCCTTCCAAAAATGTTGTACCTATTAGACTGGCAGGGTTGCATTGATTTTTGTACAACCTCACTCATTTCATATGACATTTTTTAAAAAATGTATTTTTAAGCTCTCTCAAAATCATTTTTCTTTCTTTTCTTTCTTTTATTACGCAGACTTATGCTGGTATATTAAAATCACAGACTAGGATAGAAACTTTCCAGGGCAACCAACTTTATTTTAAACATGAAGAGAGTAAGACATTCTAGCTATCTACATTGGCCATATAAATATGTGTGCTCTGTACAAATGTTATGAAGATGCTAATATCTTCCCTATTACATGAATAGTGCATATTGCACTTTCAAATCCCTCAGAGCCTAACAGATTTGGCCCTAGAGATGTTTCTTGTTTAATCTTAAACTCTTCTCATAAATACATAGAGTACTTTGAATCACCTCAACAATCTTTGTAGTGATTTAAGATTTGAAGTCTCTGTAGTGGGGAGGGGATGATTAAACAAAGCACAAGATTTATGACAAGTACTTCTTCCCCTTTGTTTAAGGCCTGCAAGAACAGGTACCAGCCCAAACCACAACAAGGGCCTCCTTGACCCTGTGGAATAGGTAAAGTAGGCAATCACATCCCCTAGGTGCTTATAATCCAATCAAGAGACAAAAATGACAAGGCCAGAGAAACTATCTGGATGCATCTCCTTTTATAGAGTAGGAAGGGAAACCCCAGAGGTAGGCAGCAAAAGGCAGTAAAATGTCTTAAATATTTAGTCCAGAAGTCTAGAGAATAGTGCAGAGGTATGTGGATGAAATGCCCCAATATATTATAACCAAATGATGCTTAAAGGAAAATAAAGACCCAAAAGACAAAAAGATGGGGGAAAAAACACAGTTCTGATACATGAGTGGGAACACTCAATGACTTATTAAAGCCAGCTGTTTCCAAAAACCTCTGTTAAGTCCTCTATGGTAGCATCTCTGAAAATCTCATCTAAGCAAGGTCCTCTCTTTGAGGAGAGTTCCTGAAGCAAATAAAAATAAACAGAAGGGCCCAGAAATTCTGACTTCCTAGCATTCAGGCATCATCTGCTCTCTGGGGCACTCACGCATGGAAGGGTGAGAGCTTACTTTAAGATATTTTAGTCTTCCTGTGTATATATTATCATCCTCCCTCGTAAGAAGCTGCCTAAGATATTACTGAAATTATTTGGGGGAAGAGTGAAATTTTGATATTGTGAGAAGTAAGGGAGATGGTTCATTTTCAGAAATACTAAATAAAAGCCGGGCTGTCCAGTTAACAAGGTCTACAACCTACTAGAAATATATTCAACCCTTACCCCCAATTCCCCTACAATGGAGTCCCAACCTTTAGATACTTTACTTCCTGGTTCTTCTTCACACACACATCCCGCCCCCATTTGGTGGGCTCATTTTTGCAGGCTTTGCAATGAGCATGAGCCACAGAATAAAGGGAGGAGGGACTCAAAGTCTCTGCCTCACCGCAGGGAATAGGTTTGCTCCAATCAGACTACTTTTTGCCTTACATGGCCATAGGCAACTTCCAGGAAAGGCTGTAACCTCTGTAGTACTCAGCCAATGAAGAATCAGGGGAAGGACCTGTGCCCTAGGAGATAAACTGCCCACTGTGACTGTCCCCAATGTGCCTGTCCATCAGACACCCATTCTTGGTTGATTAAAGCCTTATTTCACTGTGCTGAGTCTCGGCGTCCTTCCTTTGATCGGGTCAGTGGGCTTATTTCTCACAGATATCAAGTGAAAATTCCTTGTCTCCAACTTAGAGTATTTAGTAACATAAAGGAAGTTCAGGACAAACAAATCCATATTACAAGTTACGAATTAATTTTTAAATGTATGTGAACAGTAGTTAAAGTATCAGAAACTATGTATCATGTAAGTTTAATGGAGGAAATAAATTATGAAATGTGCTCAAAGAATAGGTCCTAAAATCAAGTTAGTGGATCAGGACCAGCAGTACCATGCTGGCCAGTTCATGGATGTGTACGCGACATGGAAATGCCCCACCAGCAAGGGTATCATCTGTGCCAAGTACCACACGTCCATCCAGATGAATCTGGCTGAGGTTGACCAGGTGACAATTAGGTTCAACAGCCAGTTTAAAACCTATAGTATCTGTGAACCAGCTAACAGGATGGGGAGGTCAGATGACTCCATCTTCCTACAAACCAAGGCCAACGGCATTGTTTCAAAGAACTTCTAGCCAGAGAGGATCACGGATGTGGAATATTTGTCATAAATAGCAACCCCCCCAAAAAAAATATTCAAAGAAATTGAAATACCAGGAAAACTGTAGGAAGGTTAAGTGCTGTTCTGTGAAACTTTTCTTTTAGTTATAGCTATGTGGGTATTTACTGGGTTGTAATAAAAAGTAGACTCTTTTTTATTTTGAGTCACTTCCAAAAAAAAGTATGAGGAACAAGTTTAAAAGAACATTATGTAAGTAACTGAAACACATGTATAGATGCTATAATACATCATGGTTTAGAGAAAAATATTTGGCTTTAATAGTGAACAAATACAGGGGGAATAGTATGAGTAGAGAACAAAGAACATACCAAAATCATCTGCAGCACTAAATTCCCAATGCCAAGCATAGTGTACTCAATAAATATCTATGGAGTGAATGAATACATAATTGTGGAACTAATTAACTATTGGAGACCAGAAGCCACTAAGGATAGGAATATGATAAAAAGGAAAAAAAAGAATATAATCAAAAGCATGTATGAAAAAAATATTTGTTAGAGAAATTAACATTTAGAGAAATGTAACACTGAAAGGCATTTAACACATGTATATGTGTGCGGGTACATATATTTTTATATATATAGGTATATATGCCAAACACATTTTTATCCCTATTATAGAGCTTACTGGCACTCATAAGCATGAGTAAAGCTTAGATTATACACAGATCTGATTAGAGCCCTCTTAACCAGCAGTCCTGAAGGGAGCGAGGGAAGGAAGTGAAAAAGACAAGAGACCAATAGTATGGATGAATGAATGAATGGTAGATCTGACTGTGCAGGGAATTATTTTTACCCTGCTCTCCATCAGACACACCTTCAGCGTCCTTTCTCCTACTAGACAGGTTCAAGAGGTCATAAATACAAAATAAAGTGACTTTCCGGATATGCGAGCGTGTCCTCGGGGAAAGGGGATGCACTAGGTACGTACCATCACCGGCTGAATGGGGATGTTTGGCTCATACTTGATGCCAGTGAAAAAAGAAATGATTTCTCTACTTCCTCTCCTCCTTCCCTCACAGCACTGTGAGAATGGACTAAAGAAAACTTCAGGAGAATAAAGCCAGCTGTTTACCCAGAAATGTGACCGCCATCGAGATTATGGTGACGAGAAAGCACAACGCAGGACGTTTGCTCAAATGCTTGGGTCGGTAAAGGGCCAAAGAAAAATTCCCACCCACGGCACCCACCTCCTGGGCTCCTCACCATTTGCATCGCTTCCTCCATCCACTTTTCGGTCTCCTCCGCGGTCACCGAGCCCCCGCCGCCGCCAGCAGCCGACGGGGAGGCCGCCTTGGCCTCCATCCTGCACCCGGGCCGCGGCGCTCAGCGCCCGAGGCTGGAGCAGCAGCCGCAGCAGCAGAGCGCTAGCAACGGAACGCGGCAGATGCGGGCCGCGGTTTCCAGGGAAGGCGAACGGCGATGCACTCGGGAGCGAATTCCGGACGGACCCGGGTGGCCTGGACCAGTGAGCGCGGACCGCGGCGCAGCGGCAGCTACAGAAAGCGCAGCTGCTCGCCTGTAGTCCACGCCCCCTTCCCGTCCCGGTGACAGTCTCTGCGGAAAGTCGCGTTTGTGATTTCTGGAGAGCACCGGGCGGCACCACGGCGGTGCTGTCTGGTCGTTGGGGCCAAGTGACGAGGAAACGGTTTCCTGGCGAACAGCCCCTCACCCCCGCGGCCCCTAGGTAGCTCGCACCTCCAGGGTCTGAAGATGCTGAGATCTATGTGGAATTTTCTAAAACGTCACAAAAAGAAATGCATCTTCCTGGGCACAGTGCTCGGAGGTGGGTGACAGCGTCCTCGGAAAGGGGCATTGGGAGAAGGGGGCGGATGAGAGGTGACTGTCTTCGAAAATAGAGGCCGGGCGACCATGGTCCCGGATACGTGGAGGGGCTTTCGCTCGCCCGTCGGACGCGGAGCCGGGTGACTAACCCTTAAGAGTCTTCACGTCTCTGCAGTTGTGGGATTCGTGTCTTTTGTCCTGACGCTGCCCCTTAACTCTATTTTCTCTCCTGTCCTTCCTTTTCATGGACCTGGGAAGAACCCACCACAGTTGTTTCTGTTTCAAGATAATCATTCTCTTACGGACACATATTTTTAAGTTGTTTTCCTGTGAGACTCTTCGTTTCTCTTTGGCACTCTCGGTGCTTTGTTTGGGTTTCAGCCTTAGCCGAAGTTTCATAATGTTATAGGAGTTACCGAAAGCCTGCCCTTGCAGTGTTGTTTAAAGTTACAGGCGTCTGGGCGGCTTAGTCAGTGAGCCTGGAGCCTGCTTGGGATATTCTCTCTCTCTCTCTCTCTCTCTCTCTCTCTCTCTCTCCCTCCCTCCTTCTCTCCCTCTCTCCCCTCTGCCCCCTTCTCAGCTCTTGTGCATGGGTACTCTCTCTCTCTCAATAATAAAAAAAATTTAAGTTAATTTGAATTTTTGAAAACCACAGTTATCTAAAGAACTAGGAGATATATACTAGACAAAGAAACACAAATCAGTGTTTTAGTTCTGTTTCTGCTTTAGAATACAAATTATAAGGTAGGAAAATGTTTGGGAAATGTGATGTCTTCCCCAGGGATCTTCAAGGTTAGGATCAGTGCCCACCCAGCTGGTGTAACTGAATTGCACAGGCTGAGAGGCAATTTAGAAACAGGTAAGATAATCTTGAGAGCCTTTTGCCCCATATGACAGTCATGTCATAATGTGCAGGGATTTGAAGGGGAGAATAAAAGGCGGTGTGGGAGAAGGAAATATAGGAATGTTAAGAGGGAATTTTTAGAATTTGATTTTTTTTGAGCAATTATCACTAACTACATGCTTTGGTTACAGAAGTACTTACAAAACAAGAACAGCAGTTTTCCAAACAATTTGGTTGCTTCTCTCTTACTATTAGATTTATTCTATTGCCCCCAAACAATTTGAAATTAACAGTACTTTTGACATCAATAACTTAGAACTGTTCATTCTTGAAAGTTTGAAATTGGCTTCTTGATGGCAAAGAGAATCTTTTCCTCATCTCTGTGGCCTATCACAAATCAGTAAATTTTTAGGTAAATTTTTACAGCATTCTTTGAGAAATCCTTTACCAATAAAGTATATTTTCCATATCTTCAGCCATTAACATCTAATGTACAGATCTTCCTCAACTTACAGTGGGGTTATGACCCAATAAACTCATCGTAAGCTGAAAATATCACAAGGTGAAAGTACATCTTAATACAGCTAACCTATCAAACATCGTAGCTTATCCTAGTCTGTCTAAAGAACACTTACTTTAGGCAACAGTTGAGTAAAAGCAATAATGAAGTGTTAACACCTCGTATAATTTATTGAATACTGTACTGAAAGTGAAAAACAATGGTTGAATGAGTACAGAGTGATCGTAAGAGTTGTTTACTCTCAGTGATCGAATGGCTGACTGAGAGCAGGTCTCACTGACACCCAGCCTCACTAGAGAATATCGTACCGCATGTCTGCAAGCCCAGGAAAAGATCAAAATTCAAAGAACCCAAAGTATGGATTCTACTAAATGTATATCACTTTCATATTATCATAAAGTTGAAATTTTCATAATTCAAGTACTGTCTGTACATTTCCGTTATGCTGAGACTACTAAATCTATTTTATTTGTAGAAGTTAAAGACATATGTATGATGGAAGAAGTATAAATAAAATATTTTTGTACTACTGAAGAAAGGAAAATAATCTCTCTCTAGCAGTCTCAGAATAGCATACCCCTTCAGATTTATGGAATAACCTAATGGTAGAGTAGACATAATGGTAGGAGAAGCTAAAGAGTGTACTTTAGAGTAGTTATAGATTTTTTTCAAAAATCTGTTGAGAGCTTTATAATTACAGATTAAGAGAAATGAGAAAGGGGAAAAAAAGTCCACAGGGACAGAAAGAGAAAATAATCCTAGTGTTTTATCTTCAAGGGGAAGGTTCTACAACACGTTACATTTCAGTTAATCTAAGAAATAGTTGTCAAGTGCCTGTAGTGTTGAAGGTAATATGATTGGAAGTATAAGAGTTACAGATTTTTAATAGTAATAGCTATCACTTGCTGGGTGCCCAGTGGGCACTGTGCTAGGCTCTTCTATTCAGTGGGCATGACAAGAGTAGTTTTGTTTTTTTTTTAAGCTTACTTGTGTTGAAAGAGAGAGCAAGCATGAGCAGGAGAGGAGCAGAGAGAGGGAGGAAGGAAAGAGAGGGAGAGGGAGAGAGAGAGAGAGAGAGAGAGAGAGAGAGAGAGAGAGAGTGAGAGAGTCCCAAGCAGGATCCACGTTGTCAGCACAGAGCCCAACTCCCAACTCCGGGCCTGATCTCACAAATGATGAGATCATGACCTGAGCCAAAATCAAGAGTCAGACACTTAACTGACTAAGCCACTTAGGCAACCCCAAAACTGAATTTATGATGTGGAAAGATTAGAAGATATTTTGCTTCACCAGCAGTGTTCTGAAAGGAAACCTCAAACCATTCTATATTCATTTTTGAGGTATTTCATGAATGTTTTCATTATTCATAAATAGTCATAGCACAGAAGACATTTTTAAAGCACCTTATAAACCCAGTCTTTCATTTTATGGATAAAAAAATGTACAGAGAGGAAGAGTCTTGCTCAAAATTACCTACCTATTTGGTGCCACAACCATCAATATCTACTGTCTTCAGATCAAATTCAGGCAGTCAGTCAAGTATGTAGATGATCCTGAGCTCCATATTTCAGCTAATGAATTCTCTGCCTTCGTTTTTATTTTCCTAGGGAAAAAAATAAGAATATATTAATTTTAGGAATGAGAGCCTGGTGAAATTTCACTGTGTATGGGAACGGACTTCAATGCTAAATTAAAAAAATAATAATAATGAGTTGTGGCATTTTATCCTAATTCCATGTATTTGTTTGCTGGTGTTGCCATACTAAGTACCACAAACTGAGTGGCTGAGGCAAAAGAAATGTATTGTCTCATAGTTCTGGAGGCCAGAAATCCAAGATGAGTGTGTTGGCAGGGTTTGTTTCTTCCAGAGTCTGTAAGGGAAGGATCTTTTACAGGCCCTTCTCCTTGGTTAGTAGATGGCTATCTCCTCTGTGTCTTTACATCATCTTCCTTCTACACATGTCTGTGTCCAAATTTCCTTTTATCAGAATACCAGTCATGTTGGATTAGAGCCCACCCTAATGACCTTCTTTTAACTTGATTACCTTTATAAAGACCTTATCTTCAAATAAGGTCACATTCTGAAGTAAAGGGACTTCAGCATATGAATTGAGGTGGAAGGGTGTGATAAAGTTCAATCCACAACAATTCATTTTCTTTTAGCTTGAGTTAGAATATACTACACTTATCAAATATGGTAAGTAGTTCCTGAAAAATTTTATCAGACTCTGTTGAGAATCTAATGAAAGCAGTGTACCTTTTTTCCTAGAAAAACACATCTACTAGTCATTTACTGTTATTCCAGAAAATTCTTAGCTACAAAAAGGGCATCATTGCAGTGTTTCATTTTACATTGTTATTATCATTTGAGAAATAATAATCATTTTACACATAACTTTAAGCAATCTGTTGTGCAAATAAAATACAAGCAATTCGTTGAGAAGTGGTTGTTACCTAAGAATTGCCTGTCAAAGAGTTACTTTGTGAAACATAAGTAAGTTACTTCATTCTGTTGGTATGGTACTGTCATCAGTTTATTAAGAAAGGATTGCAAGAAAGGTCATTTTGAAGCCACTTATATGACATTTATTTACTCTTTAAACATAATTATGATACATTTATTTGCATAGAAACATAACAGTCCTACTTTATTTCTAATTACTTGCAGGATATACCTTTTACTGAGCTATTATTTTTTAGAATATATATGTTATCAGTTTATGTATAATGCTTATATTAGTGATAATATTTCAGGCTGTGTGCTTACTTTGCAGTTGTTAAAGGACTGCCCCATCACCCCTCGTGACAAATAGACCAAACCCAATGATTTAGGTCCTGCAAAGCTCTTAGGTTCTTTTTGGCAGTTATTGGGAGCCACAGACAGTTGTAGATAGGTGAGGATTAGTTACTCCCTTACAAATTTGTTGCCAGGTTATAATGAAACAAATTCTGACACACACAAAAACAGTCTATGAGCCAGTATAAATAAAACAGTATCAAAACTACCTTTTATGAGCTTATTGAAGTTCCAGTGTCCTCTCTGTACTGCAACAGAACCGTGCATAAAAGATTAGCTGGAAGCAAATGCAGCACTATTCCATCTGTAGAATTCTGTTGGCCATTTGGTTAGCAACTTTGACATTTGGTTAACAACTTTGACTAAGAGGAATCCTCCTGGGTAGCAATTAAGGATTCAAGGCTAAACCATTCCTA